CCCTGGACACATTTTCCCCATCGTCTTGGGGATTAACATTCTGCTCCTTGTTCCTTATGCAAATTTCTGCAGCTGGCTTGAGTTTCTCCTCAGAAATGGAATTTCCTTTTCCATTACATTGTCAGGCTACAAATTTTATGCTTTGCTTCCTTTATAAAACTGAATGCTTTTAACAGCACCCAAGTCACATCTTGAAGGCTTTGCTGCTTAGAAATTTCTTGTGCCAGATACCCTAAATCATCTCTCTCAAATTCAAAGTTCCACAAATCTCTAGAGCAGGGTCAAAATGCCACCAGTCTATTTGCTAAAACATAACAAGAGTCACCTTTGCTCCAGTTCCCAACAAGTTCCTCATCTCCAACTGAGACCACCTCAGGGGGGCCTTATTGTCCATATTGCTATCAGGCTTTTGGTCAAAGCCATTCAACAAGTCTCTAGGACATTCCAAACTTTCCCACATTTTCCTGTCTTCTGAGCCCTCCAAACTGTTCCAACCTCTGCCTGTTACTTAGTTCTAAAGTCGCTTTGACATTTTCAGGTATCTTTTCAGCAGTGCCCAGCTTTACTGGTACCAATTTACTGTATTAGTTCATTTTCACGCTGCTGATAAAGACATACCTGTGACTGGGCAATTTACAAAATAAAGAGGTTTAACTGAACTTATGGTTCCACATCGCTGGGGAGGCCTCATAATCATGGCAGAAGGCAAGGAGGAGCAAGTCACATCTTATGTGGATGGTGGCAGGCAGAGAGAATGAGAGAGAAGTGACAGCAGAAACCCCTTATAAAACCATCAGATCTTGTGATACTACAAGAACAGTATGGGGAAAACCATCCCCATGATTCAATTATCTCCTACCAGCCCCTCCCACAACATGTGGGAATTATAGGAGTAAAATTCAAGATGAGATATGGGTGGGGACACAGCCAAACTTTATCATACACTTTGCTGTTCCTGGGAGGGGGTGGTATCCTATAAATGTCTGTTAGATCTAGTTGGTTTATGTGTTGTTCAAGTCTTCAACTTTTTTGTTGATCTTCTATTTGGGCCTTTATAGAAAGCAAGGTGTTGAATTCTCCAACCATTAGAGTAGCAATGTCTAAAAGTACATCTTTATACATTGTGTGCTCGTTAACATAGATTTATAATTCTTCTTTTATGCATTTATTTTTTAATCCTTTTTCTTTAAAAAAGAGGTGTTACAAACCCAAAAATAGAAAATGACTCACTTTTAATTTCACCTGTGTAGTTACCTTTACTGATGTTCTTTATTTCTTCATATGGCTTTGAGTTACTGTATCTTAGCCTCTTTTCAGGCTGAAGGATTTCCTTTAGTATTCCTCATAGTTATGAACTCCCTCCATTTTTGTTGTTCTAGGAACTTATTTATTTCTCCTTCATTTTTTAAGGATACTTTTGCCAGATTCAGGATCCTTTTTTGGCTTTTTTTTCACAGCACTTATGTCATTCTACTGCTGTCTGAGATCCATGGTTTCTGATAAGTCTCCTGTTATTCTTACTGAAGATTCCTTATACACAACCAGTCATTTCTCTCTTGCTATTGTCGAAATTCTCTCTGTTTTTGTCTTTTAACAATTTAATTACAATTTGTCTTGGTGTAGATCCCTTTCGGTTAATCCTTCATGAAGTTAATTGAGCTTCTTAGATGTGTAGATTCCTGTCTTTCACTAAATTTGTAAACTTTTCAGCTATTATTTCTTCTAATATTCTTTACACTCCTTTCTTTTTTCCTTTCCTTTTGTAATTCCCACTATGCACATATTTGCTTGATGATGTTCCACAATCCTTATAGGTCTTGTTCATTTTTCCTCATTATTTTTTCTTTTTGTTCCTCAGACTGTATACTCTTAATTGATATATCTTCAAATTCCCCAATCTTTTTACTGCCTGCTCAAATCTGCTGTTGAACCCCTCCAGTGAACATTATATTTCAATTATTGTGCTTTTCAACTCCAGCAACTGTATTGATTGCTTTTTATAATTTCTACCTCTTAAATAATATCCTCTATTTATTGAACAATTCGGCTTTCCTGGTTTCCTCCAGTTATTGTCTATTATTTTCTTTGCCCTTTGAGCATATTAAAGACAATTGACAATGTCTGGTCTTCCCAAAGGAATGTTCTCTAAATTTTTTTTCCTTGTAAATAAACCATACTGTCTTGTTTCTTTGCATGCCTCATAATTTTTGTTGTTGAAAACTGGACATTTTGTATATAATATGGTAATTCTGGATATCTGCTTCTCCCACACCCCACCAGAGTTTGTTGTTGTTGTTGATTTCTTTTATTAAATGTCTGGAACCAACCAATAAAAAGATAAAAGGCCAAAATTCTAGAAAACACTCCCAGTCTTTGCCAATTAGCTATGTGTTGCGGCACCCCTTCAATGCTTAACTAGGTAGTTTACAACACCGCCTTAGCCTTCACTTCCTGCTTGCATGGAGCCTGAAGGTCAGTCAGAGGTTTGCATTTAGGGTACTTTTAGGTCTTTTCTGAGTATACATCCAGACCAGGGCATGCCCATGGCCTTCTAGATTCCTCAGAATAAAATGAGGCTTTCCAAAGTCTTTATTCCTCCACTTATCTCTTTCTTCAGACTCTTCCTTCCCAGGAGTTTTGGTCTGTTTATTGCTTTCCCTGGCTTTCATACCTTGCTTTCTATGGAAGTGGCTGTTTGCCTTTAATACTTTTGACAAACACTGCCTGGGAAGCTTCCTGAGCCCTGAGGAAGCTCTGAGGCAGGTGAAACAAAGGCAAGCCCTTGAGTTGAACCTTCCGGTAACCATCAGAGAGGCCAAAACACACCTATAATTCCTTTAGAATAAGGTCTGTAGTGTTCCCTCTCGTGCCAGCAACCCACACCAGGAATGTGGCTGCCATCTTCAAGGCCGCTGCCAACTTGGAGATTAGAAAATGACCACAGAACTCTCTTACCAAAATGCAGCAGTTTTTTCTTCATTACATGTTCCCCTGGCTTTTGTTTTTTTTTTTTAATTAGTTTCAGAGTTTCCAAAAAAGGTGCTCCTGACAGTTTTGCCAGCTTATTCATTGCTTTTGTGAAGGAATGGTTTTTGAGTTCCCTACTTCGACATGTTTGGGTTACATCATTTCATACTATTTACTTTTGTGTTTCCCAGCCTTGCTTGAAATTTTCTCAGCCTGGAATGCAGAGAAAAAAGAAAGGTTACTATCACTGAAGCTATCAAAAGAATGTATTACTGACTTGTGTCATTTGACTGGCCCTGATATGACGGCAGGGCCAATGAGCAGTTCCAAAAGTTTTTGAAGAAGGATACCATCAGCAAAATAACTTTCATCTCCCTTAAATACAACATTCATTAAATTGTTTGCCTTGCATTTGTCAAGTTCTTCATAATAGATGCAGTATTTGAGAGCACTCAGGCTTTGGGATAAGATCTTAGTTTGAATTCCAGATCTTCTGCCACTTTGTAGTTTTTTGGCCTTGTACAAGTTCTCTGGGACTATTTCCTTATCTGTAAGACAGGAAAAATAAACATTTCTAGAGCTTTGATAAAGATTTAAAGAGATATTATCATTTCCAGAACTGTGATAAAGATTTAAATAGATATACACGTAAAATTCTTGGCATTCAATGTTAGCTCTTTGTTAAATTTAAATTTTTTTTTATTTTATTTTATTTTTGAGACTAAGTCTTGCTCTGTCGCCCAGGCTGGAATGCAGTGGCACAATCTCGGCTCACTGCAACCTCCACCTCCCGGGTTCAAGTGATTCTCCTGCCTCAGCCTCCTGAGTAGCTGGGATTACAGGCCTGTGCCACCATGCCCAGCTAATTTTTGTATTTTTAGTAGAGACAGGGTTTCACCATGTTGGTCATGCTGGTCTTGAACTCCTGACCTTGTGATCCACCCACCTCAGCCTCCCAAAGTGTTGTGATTATAGGCATGAGTCACTGTGCCTGGCCTAAATTTGAATTTTTCAGTTTAGGTTTTTTGTTTTGTTTCATTTGTTTTTGAGGCAGGGTCTCGCTCTGTCACTCAGGCTGTGGTGCAGTGGCACCATCATAGCTCACTTGGCTCAAATGATCCTCCTGCCTCCGCCTCTCAAGTAAGCTTGACTACAGGCAGGTGCCAACCTGCCCAACTAATTTTTTAAATTCTTTTGTAGAGATGGGGTCTCCCTATGTTGCCCAGGTTGGTCTCCAACTCCTGGCCTCAAGAGAGTCTCCCACCTCAGCCTCCCAGAATGCTGAGATTACAGGCATAAGCCACAGAGTCGGCCTAAATTTGAGTTTTTTGTGGCATTACAGACACGGTTTTTTCTGGTTTAATTAAAAAGAAAAAAGAAAAAGAAACAAAAAGAGCCACTGGCTTCCTTAGTAAAAAGAGCTTAGGGTTGCCATATGGTTTTCAGGAACTGACCTTGAACTGATAACAAACACATTAATTTTACTTAGATTGTATGTCTACTTGGGGAGGCTTTGGGGAAAATTGCTGAGTATGGGGGGTGGGCCTCTAAAATCCTTCTAAAGCCCCTCTTTAGCCTAGAAAGTAATTTGCAAACACATTTTTTAAAAACACACCGAACTATCTAGACGACGGAGGGAGCATGCCAACTCAACAATTTTTTCAAACCAGCTTCCCTTGGTAAGGGTCCAAGCACGTAACCAGATCATAGAACACCCGCCAGGAAAGCCCAAAAAAGGGGTGATCCCTTGATGGAGATGCCGCATCAGCGTTTTCTCACGTGGCCTCCGGGGCTCTAAGAATGGCAAGAGATCGCATTCCTTCTAATATCCCTCACGGCCTCCAGGGGGACAAGGGACTGGAGCAAACCCCCGGCTGCAGTTCCGACTACTCTTGCCCACCTGGGCGCGCCGGCTGCCCAGTCTCCTGAAGCCTTGGGGCTGGGCCCTACGGTGATGGGCGTGCTGGCCGTCGCAGAGCCCTCTGGGAGTTGTAGTCTGCGGCGCCGAAAGGTTTTACAGCGACCGCCAGCTTGGCGCTCTCAGAACTCCAACCCCCGCCAGTCCCCGCGGCCCAGGCCGTTGCCGCTTCCTGTTTGGACTGGGAACCCCGCGGTCGCAAATTGCGAGGATTTGGGAAGGGAGTCCTTGTCTTCTCGCCTAGTTCTCCGAGATTGAAAGCTCGGCCTGCTCAGGTAGATCACGCTCCCAGGTCTAGCAAACTTACCCTTCGGGGAGGTGGTAAGGTATCCGAGGGAAGGCTGCTGGAAGGGTTGAGCTTACGGCGAAGCTGGTTGTCACCTGCTATAGTTCTTCAGTGCAGCGCGTCGGAACCGTAGTTTCTTGTGGTGATCCGGGAGGCCAAAGCCGGGAGCTGGGGAGGCCGCTTCGGGGGGGACGGCGCGCGCTCCTCAGGGGCTCTGTGCGAAGAAGTCAGGAGTCCCTCGAGATCTGAGGAAATCCGAGTGTCTATGGGAGTCGGTGTCAGCTAGAGCCTTAGAGAAAAGGTACGGTTAAGTGTAGATGAACACCCTGACCCTCGGTGAGAGAAAGGAGGGAGCAGGAGAACTGGGGGACTTGCAGGAATGGGAGCACCCTTCTGTCTCACTCCATCGCTTGGGCTGGAGTGAGGTGGCGCGATCGCGGCTGGGCAACCTTCTCCATCCCGAGTTGGGGAGATCTAAAGGGGGAACATAGGGAGGAACCCCCTTTGGGTCCTGAGCTAGGACCACAGATGGGTTGAGGGCCATGACTGGTAAGCCCTCGCCACGCTTTCTACATGACTCAATTGTGAGAGTGAGTGTGTTGATAAGTGGGTAGCTTGACGTCTTTTCCCCTTAGAATAGTAGACCTGGAAGAGGGGTTTAAGAGCAGCTAGTCAAGCGCATTCTCCTCGTTTTACAGAGAAGGAAACAGGTCCATCGAGTTGGAGAAACCCCGCTCAACACCAGGTAACCATTTAATGGCAAACTTGACTAAAACCTGATTGTCATGATTCCCAGGCAGTGTCTTATCCATTGCCTAGCCCTGTAGATCAGCACACCGTAAATTGTACCTCCACCTGGTTTTCTTTTTTCTTTTCTTTTCTTTTCTTTTCTTTTCTTTTCTTTTCTTTTCTTTTCTTTATTTCTTTCTTTTCTTCGGAGTCTCCATCGCCCAGGCTGGAGGGCAGTGGCGCGATCTTGGCTCACTGCAACCTCCGCCTCCCGGGTTCAAGCGATTCTCGTGCCTCAGCCTCCAAAGTAGCTGGGATTACAGGTGCCTGCCACCACACCCCGCTAATTTTTGCATTTTTAGGAGAGATGGGGTTTCACTATGTTGGCCAGGCTGGTCTTGAATTCCTAACCTCAAGTGATCCGCTCGCTTTGGCCTCCTAAAGTGCTGGAATTACAGGCGTGAGCCACGGCGCCCAGCTCCTTGTTTTCTTTTTAATACCTTAACACATGACAAAGATCGGACATATGTAGAATAGCCTGCAGCTGCTGAGGAGAAAGGCTTTTTAGAAACGTTTCAATAGATCAAAATAACCCATGTCCTAACTTAAAAATCTCTCTGCCTCATAAACAACTACAAACTTGGTGTTAAGATAGAAGGTTGGCCGGTTGCGGTGGCTAACGCCTGTAATCCCAACACTTTGGGAAGCCGAAGTGGGTGGGTCATTTGGGGTCAGGAGTTCGCGACCAGCCTGGTTAACACAGTGAAACTCCGTCTTTACTAAAAATACAAAAATCAGCCGGGCGTGGTAGCTGCCTCTCGTCTGTAATCCCAGCTACTTGGGAGGCTGAAGCAGGAGAATCACTTGAGCTCGGGAGGCGGAAACTGCAGTGAGCCGAGATCGCACCACTCACTGTACTCCAGCCTGAGCCACAGAGCCACACCCTATCTCAAAAAAAAAAAAAAAAAAAAAAAAAAAAAAAAAAGTTGTCACCTATAGGTTTTTTGTCTCTAAGAAAATAAAATTTACCTTTCTTTCCCTAACTTATGCCCTCTAGACCTCTGAAAACAGTTAGGCTTAACTTTTTAATCACAATCTTAAATACTATATATTTCAGTTACATACATAAAATAATATGCTTTTAATTGTGATTTTATAATACCCTAAATATTTACAATAAAGGGTAAACTCAGCATAGGAGGATGAAATACCAACCTTAACTACAAATTAAAATAGCACTGCTTAGTATTGTTTTTTCTTTTTGGGGTTGGGGGTAGAGTTTTGCTCTGACACTCAGGCTGGAGTGCAGTGACACTATGATAGCTCACTTTAACCTTGAACTCCTGGGTTCAAGCAGTCCTGCTTCAGCCTCCCAAAGCATTGGGATTACAGGCATGAGCCACCACACTGGGCCTGTATGGTGTTTTTTAAAAAGTATATATGGTCATAAGAGTAAAACACCAAAAAAAAAAAAAAAATCAATGAGAGGTTAAAAATGTCCACCAGGCCAGCATTTTATAACATAGTTAAATTTCTGTTCTTTGCTAGGATTCTTTCTTACTTAAATATAACTTGAGAGCATTTAGTGTTCCCAGTATAGAAGGAGAGATTCTTTGGTACCATAGCATTGCTTTGACTGGTAATTTCTTTGTGAGACCACACTATCCTCCAGCACTGTCAAATGTAGCGCCGTTTGAAGCATTTATTGATCAGATTGGAAGCACGTTCCAACTGTCACATCAGAATTGGAGCATTGTAGCCCCTATTGGCTAACCAGTAAATGATTCATCAGGAAGTGATTTAGATAAATTTGCTATTGGAGTTTATAGCTGTTACAGACTAACATAGAAGAAAACATAGATACATAGCATAACTGCTTCCACCAGGGTGCCTTTTTTATGGTGTGGTTCCATTTGCTTTTATATTGGTATACTACAGAGTTGGGTAAACTATGACCAAATTTGGCCTGCTGACAGATTCTTTTTTCATAAACTTCTATTGGAACACAGCCATGCACACTCATTTATATTTTGCCTTTCATGCTAACAAGTAGAGTTGAGTAGCCACAGAAACTATATGTCAATCCCTAGCCTAGTACACTGAGTATAAATGTAGTATCTGAAACTCTATAACATACACAGAAGTATTCAGTAATACTCATTTTTAGTCTCTGAGAGCATATATATGGTTTTATATGGGTCCATAGTCACATTTATTTGGGTACAAGCTAGTGTATTCTATTGCAGTTTGATGCTAGCATCTTGGCATAGATACTATAGATTTGCTTTTGCAAAGAATTGCGAAAAGACATTTCTAAGCCTAGTATAGAAAGGGCTGATATTCTTTGAGATACACCAATAATCACAGTCAATACCTTTTTATAATAATGTCATACCAGTTTTCTTTGGTTGTTCTCTGTGTCCTTTTTTATGGAGAGAAGTGCTTCAGTACAGGCACTAACATTTTTTGTTCTTTTAGAGACAGAGTCTTACTGTGTCACCCAGGCTGGAATGCAGTGGTGCCATTGTAGCTTGCTGCCCTGGGCTCGTGCAGCTCTCTCCCCTCAGCCTCTCCAGCAGCTGAGATTACAGGCACGAGCTACCATGCCTGGCTCAGTCATCAACATTTTAAATAAAAGTTGAAAGTACCAAGCAATCATCTAAGCTGTTGATTCCCTGTTGGGACCTATCTTAGTCTCTTGGTGCTGCTCTAATGAAATACTTGAGGCTAGGTAATTTATAAACAATATAAATTAATTTCTAGCAGTTGTGGAGGCTGGGAAGTCCAAGATCAAGCCACTCGCAGATTTGATATTTGGTAAGGACCTGGCCTCTGCTTCCAAGATGGTGCCTTGTTGCTCTGTCCTCACATGGGGGAAGGGATGGAACTCTAATTCACCTCTCAACCTCATTCATCAAACTTTTATACTTCTACTTATTGAGACATTCAGAAAAGCTTTAAGGCTGGGCATGGTGGTCATGCCTATAATCCCAGCACTTAGGACTTTGGGAGGCTGAGGCAAGAAGATTACTTGGGGCCAGGTTGGGCAACACAGTGGTACACACCTGGGGTCCCAGCTACTTGGGAGACTGAGGTGGGAGGATAGCTTGAGCCTGCGGGGAGGAGGTCGCAGCAAGCCCAGATCGCACCACTGCACTCCAGCCTGGGTGACAGAGTGAGACCCTGTCTCAAAAAAAAAAAAAAAAAAAAGAAACAAAGCCTATCTGTTATCACCTAAAATTCTCAGGAGCAACAAGTATAGTTGTTTCTGTTGTGACAAAACTTGTACCACATACAAAAAAATTTAAATATTGAAATAAAAAAATTTCATCATGGCTCTGTGTGGGGGAAAAAGGGGGGCATTAAATTTCTGTTGAAAATTTGAGATCATGCTAATTGACTAATTGAGACAACTGCAAATTACCAATTTCCTTACAGTTCTTCTTCTTTGCTTGAATATTGTAAATCTTTGACTGAAAGGCACCAGGGACTTTGAACTCCTCATTTATTATTTGTTATTTGAATTCATCAGTTTTCTGCTTATTTAGAATAAAATAGCTAATTTTACTATGCCGTAGAACTTTGGATTTGTTCAGAACAAATACATATATGTGACTAAACTGGAAATTTTATTTTAATTCCTCACTGTCCCTCACATTTTTTCCCAACCTTGATTTCACTTTTTGTTCAGGTTCACTGAAATCCAAGGATCTTTCTAGATTTCTCCTCTTTCCTGGTTTTTTAACTTTCTCTTTTTTTTTTTTTTAGACAGAGTCTTGCTCTGTTGCCCTGGCTAGAGTGCAGTGGCGCAATCTTGACTCACTGCAACCTTCGCCTCCTAGGTTCAAGTGATTCCCTGCCCCAGCCTCCCCGGCAGCTGGGTGCATGCCACCACGCCCAGCCCATTTTGTGTATTTTTAGTAGAGATGGGGTTTCACCATATTGGTCAGGCTGGTCTCAAACTCCTGACCTTGTGATCCAACCTCCTTGGCCTCCCAAAGTGCTGGAATTACAGGTGTAAGCCACCATACCCGGCCCAATTTCTTCACTTTCAATCTTTAAGTAAAGTATTAATTTCCAGAAAGTGAAAGGATCTTCTCTCTGTAAATTCACCCACATTCTCAGTTTAGTTTAGGAACCAATAATACAGAGTATATTGATTTACAAAGTAAATTCGAAAGTATAGTTATATATTTCTGCCGTTGTTTAAGCAGATATGTTTTTGCTACTCTGACTTGACTACTGCCCTTTCCTTGTTTCACTGCCACTGGAAGGTTTGTTGCTGGCTAAGGAAATATTGAACCTTGAGACAAAAAAGTTTGCAACAAAAGAAATTTACCTAAACTAGCTTGCTTCAAGAAAAACAGATTCATGGTGTTTAATTTGTAACCTGGATACCCAGCATGAAGTTTCACTCATTCTCGTCCAATTATGTTTTAAAGAGTTTAAGGCCATTTGCTATTACAGCTATTATTTTATATTTGCAAACCTAAACAAAGAAGACCTGTTTTTTAAAAGCTTCTTTTGTCTTCCAGCCTAACTACTTCTTTAAGGCAGACATCAGAGTATATACTGAAATAAGATTTAGAATCAAAGTGTCCTGGTTTCAATCCCAAATGTGACTTTATTAGCTTAGTGATTTAGTACATTACTTCTCTGAGCTTCAATTTTCTTTCTTTCTTTCTCTCTCTTTCTCTCTCTCTCTTTTTTTTTTTTTTTTTTTTTTTTTTTAGCAATATGCAGGTAATACCCATTTCCCAAATTCTAAGAATTGGATTTAAACAATAACATGAAAAGCATTAGGCCAGTAGTAGGCATTCAATAAATAAATGTTAACTCCATCTCCCACTATCTTCTATTAACTTGTCTTTTTGTCTCAATTTTCCTTCAAAAATGACATCTAGTTTTGTCCTTTAGATATCCTTTTTCTTTTCTTTTCTTTTTTAACATGGAGTCTTGCTCTGTCTCCCAGGCTGGAGTGCAGTGGCACCATCTTGGCTCACTGCAACCTTGCCT